CTAGCGAAGAGAATGGCCAACAGCGGAGGAAGCTTTGCGACCTTGTGAAGCAAGACTTCCGAGGGCGTCTCAGGTCGGCACGGCCACCAGAAGCCGACCGACCCCTCGAGGAGAGGCCTTCTCTCGCAGCACAGGCCCCAGAAGCGGGCACAGCACATGGTGGTACTTTGAGAGTTTGTTCCATGCAATGGCTATCCCAAGCACGTACGTTTCTGCACTGGGAAGATGCGTCCAGACCGACAGGGGTTCATATGCAACGCCTCGGCCTGTCCAAAATGTGGTTCCTTGGTGCATCGAGCCTCGTGCGATTCCCATGTGGCCAGATGTCGTGGTGTGATCCCTCTGCGTCGCCCAGCTGCTGCTGCTGTCCCACCTCGTTCCCCAGCATCGGTTATTCGACGTCGTCTTCGAGGAGAGCAGGCGGTGGAGGCTCCGAGGAGGACTCGAGTGAGATCGAAATCGGCTTCGACGACCTATCCTCCTCCGCTTGTTCCTGTAGCCCCAGTACTGATCCAAGAGCCCTCCCCCCCCCCCCCCACACACACACACACACACACACACCTATGCCCGTCAAGAATCGCCGCAAACTTCAGCAAGCACAAGCCAAAGCGAAACGGGCCTCTGGGAAGACAGAAAGCAAGACTGGGTACATTTTTACCTGCTGATCTTGTGGACAGCTAGCAAGTTACGCAAATCACATACACGATTGTGCCAAAGCTCCATGTGACGTCTGGCTAAAGGGGGGCCCAGCAACGGATCCGCACACGCGACAAGACACGTACCCCCGAGCAGATATATAGCCGCCTGGACTTTTCAATGCAAGTATTGCAATATCGAGTTGCCCATCAATGCCATGTTGCCAAGCACTTCAATGTATGCAAGAACCGACGTATTCAGGGCAATCTCCTTGTGTAACAGTTTGGCTCAGCAGCGTGCCTCATGTGGTGCATTGCGACTACGTGACGCTATGCTTGAGGTCCTCCGTGCTAAAGCTGCCGATGGAGGTGCGGCAGCTGGATCGGAGGCACCGACAGAAACACGTGGAGTTGGACCTTCCCCGAAGGATGCGACGACCAAGACCGTCGTCAACAAGCTCATTCCTATTGTTGTGTCTCTGGGCCGCAGGGTCGCTACTCTTGAGGATCGCGTTTCCATCGTGTGTGTGGTCAAGAAAGATGATGCCAAGAAAGAGCTCGAGCAGCTGCGCACGATGTGGAAGTCAGAGGAGAAGGAGCGCCGCTCTGCTTTCGACAAGGCCAAGGAGACGAACATGGAGGACGCCATGCTTGTGCCCCACAGCCTGGGTGGTGGTCTTCGTTCTGTCCTGTTCAAAGCCATGGTCGAGCAGATCGGCCGTGCTCCCCAGGGCAAGCTGTCCGAGGGCGATGCAAAAGTCGTTAAATACCTGTCGGGCCTCAGCGTGGCCGAGCTCGATATGCAGTTGTTCAGAGCCAAGCCTAGGCATTTCACATGGAAGGCTGGACGTCCATGGGCGTGGGTTTTCATGTTGCAGGAGGAGAAGGCTCCTGACTTCACCCGCTCCCTGCGGGCGTGCTACAGCATCAAGTGTGAGGATCTCTTCATCACCGCACAGCACACTCTTGACGGCCCCCCCCCTCAAGTGGTCGCTGGAGTTCAAGCGCAGCTCGAGTGATGATGCCGATGAGGAGGACAAGCCTGGACGTCGTAAGGTTGCCAAGCGCTGAGCAATCTGGCCCCAGCCCCCCTCGGGGGCAGCGGGGCTCCGAGCCCAGGCCCACCCGTGGGCCACCAGTTTTGCATGCAGTAGCCAGTTCCTCCACAAGTTGTGAGACTATCTTGGCGGGGGCTCCGCCTTCTTGGCCATTGGGCCTCATGATCCTCAGGATAAGTGGTGTGGGCAATTTTGTTTGGGACTGTGGTGGTATCGAGACTCGCCCCATGGGTGCTCACGATTCTCGCACGAGGAGCAGAAGCAGGAGAAGGTTTTGAGAGCCACGAGGGAAGAGGTGTCGGTGCACGTCGAGAAGGCGGAGCACGACGCCCAGGCGCGGTTGTTGAAGCAGCACAACTATGGGGCCACGATCCTCGTGAGGGGTGCGGCGAAATGGCCCAGGGCCGCCATGGGAACCCTGCCATTGGGGGCCTTCGTTGGAGCTCCCTATGGGGCCACGATCCTCGTGAGGAGTGTGCCGACATGGCCCGAGGCCGCCGTGCGAACCCTGCCACTGGGAGCCTTCGGTGGAGCTCCTTATGGGGCCACGATCCTCTTGAGGGGTGCGCCGAAATGGCCCGAGGCCGTCATGCGAACCGTGCTACTGGCGCCTTCGGCAAAGCCCCCATATGTGGCCACGATCCTCGCGAGGGGTGTGCCGAAATGGCCCGAGGCCGCCATGCGCACCCCGCCGCCGGCGCCTTCGGCGGAGCTCCCTATGGGGCCACGATCCTCGCGAGGGGTGTGCCGAAATGGCCCGAGGCCGCCATAGGAACCCTGCCACTGGGGCCTTCAGTGGAGCTCCCTATGGGGTCACGACCCGCCCGAGGCCGCCACGCGCACTTCGCTACTGGCGCCTTCGGTGGAGCTCCTATGGGGCCACGATCCTGGTGAAGGGTGTGCCGAAATGCCCCGAGGCCGCCATGCACTTTGCCACTGGCGCCTTCGGTGGAGCTCCTATGGGGTCACGATCCTCGTGAGAGGTGCGCCGAAATGGCCCAAGGCCGCCATGCGCACTTTGCTACTGGCGCCGTCGGTGGAGCTCCTGTGGGGCCACGATCCTCGTGAGGGGTGTACCGACATGGCCCGAGGCCGCCATGCGCACTTTGCTACTGGCGCCGTCGGTGGAGCTCTTATGGGGCCACGATCCTCGTGAAGGGTGTGCCGAAATGGCCCGAGGCCGCCATGCGCACTTTGCTACTGGCGCCTTCGGTGGAGCTCCTATGGGGCCACGATCCACGGCCCGAGGCAGCCATGCGCACTTTGCTACTGGCGCCTTCGGTGGAGCTCCTGTGGGGGGGGGGCCACGATCCTCGTGAGGGGTGTGCCGAAATTGTCCGAGGCCGCCGTGCGCACTTTGCTACTGGCGCCTTCGGTGGGGCTCCTATGGGGCCACGATCTTCGTGAGGGGTGTGCCGAAGTGGCCCGAGGCCTCCATGCGCATCTTGCTACTGGCGCCTTCGTTGGAGCTCTTATGGGGCCACGATCCTCGTGAGGCGTGTGCCGAAATGGCCCGAGGCCGTCATGCGCACTTTGCTACTAGCGCCTTCGGTGGAGCTTTTGTGGGGCCACGATCCTCGTGAGGGGTGTGCCGAAATGGCCCGAGGCCGCCATGCGCATTCAGCTACTGGCGCCTTCGGTGGAGCTCCTATGGGGCCACGATCCTCGTGAGGGTGATGATGATGATGATGATGATGATGATGATGATGATGATGATGATGATGATGATGATGATGATGTGATGGTGATGATGATGATGATGATGATGATGATGATGATGATGATGATGATGATGATGATGATGATGATGATGCAAGGAGGAGGTAGGGGGCAGCGGGAGGAGGAAGGAACGCAGGGATGATGATGATGATGATGAAAATGATGGTGATGATGATGATGATGATGATGATGATGATGATGGTGATGATGATGATGATGATGATGATGATGATGATGATGATGATGATGATGATGATGATGATGATGATGATGATGATGATGATGATGATGATGATGCAAGGAGGAGGTAGGGGGCAGCGGGAGGAGGAAGGAACGCGGGGCGCTGTCTCTTCAAAACGAGGACCCAACACCACAGGATGGTTGGGAAAAACGATGACATGACCCAACACCACAGGATGGTTGGGAACAAGACATGCGAAGTCTTGATTTGTGTTCAATACGCGGCCCCCGGAAGGCCCGACCCTTTCCCCGGGACCACTATTTCGTCCTGAGTTACTTTCTTGACGGTCCCGCTCCCAGAGGCCGAAAACGATGAAAAAAATCCCGACCTGTTTTTTTTTCACGACGCAAGCATGTCTGGGAATGTTCGGAGTTCTGCGCGGAGTCTTTGAATCGGCGCTGGGCCCCCCTTGGCGGCGCCTCCCGCGCGGCCCCTGGCGCGCGGAGCGCACCAGGGGGCAGGGGGATGCAGCGCCGACTCGGGAAGTCCGCGTGCGGGCCTCGGAGAGCTTCTGCTCCTCGGCCACCGTCTCGCTGGGTCGTCACCGTCGCGCTGGGTCCTGGGTCGCAGACACAGAGAATCGCCGATTCCCCGGAAAATGTGGAAGCGACGGAAAGTGGAGAGGAAGAAGAACATCCAGAGTTGCTCTGGATGTTCTTCTCCACTCCGCATGTTCCATAGATGACGGATTACCCAGTTTTTGTTTCGCAGGATGTTCCCAGGAATCTCCCCTGGATCTTCTGGATGTTCCCAGGAGCCCATACACTCTTCTGGACGTTCTGGATGTATCCAGGGTAATCCATCTTGCTCCATGTATTCAGTATATGGAAAAGCTTGAGAATCCTGGGGGCTGCATCTGTTTATCTGTGTGTGTCCCTGGGCTCCTTCAAGTCCGCTTGCCTCGCCCTCGGGCCCTGCCGCTGCTCGCGGCGGGCATGGCCCTGCTCCTCGCGAGCGGCGCAGCAGGGGAGCGCAGCCGCACGGGGCGCTCCCGGCAAAAGGGGCCTCGCCTTCGGGGGATCGAGCAGCAGTGGACGGCCTCCTCATCGGCGGAAGCCGGGGGACGCAAAGCAAGGGCAGCCCCGCCGGCGGAGGCTGGCGGCAGGCGGCGGGGGTACCGCAAGGTCGTCGCACGACGAACTCACTCGCACTTCGAGGTCTCGGATGCAGCGCCGCGGTCTCCGAAATCCCTGACGCTGGCGTCCCTTTAAGGAAACGCATCAGTAAGAGATACGCTCCCCCCCAGAGATGACAGCGTTTGTTGGCTCAGGGTTTCCGAAACCGACCGCTGCACCGCTTCCGAGACCGACCGCCATACAGCTTGACCGTCTCTCGGAGGAGCAGGAGCCTGCAGCTCACGCAGTCGCTGACGAGCGGCACCGGGTGCTCGTTCGCGCCAGGCACGCAGTGCTTCGAGCGGCTTAAGAGCGAGGGGCTCTGGGGCCTCGGCCGCGTGGGCGGCTGTGCGAAGGGCGGGGGCTCCAGCTGCGACGGGGGGCACGAGGTCCGCTACAAGATGGGGTACGGGGTCCACGTGTACGTCCCCGGCTCCGGGAGACTCGAATAGAGAGAGAGAGAGAGAGAGCATGGAGTGACCATAATCCTTCCAGGGGTCCGCGCGGATTCCTTGGGTCGGCGCTGGGGCTGGGGGCCCCTCGGCGGCGCCCGTGGCACGCTCCGCTCGCCAGCAAGGGGGGCCCAGCGCCGATCTTGCACATCCGCACGGACCTCCGAAAGGTTATGTTTACGTCGTTTCTCTATGTAGATCGATCGGCGATTGGCCGCGCGGCCAGGGCAGGGGCGAGTCCTCCTCCTCCTCCTCCTCCTCCTCCTCCTCATCCTCCTCCTCCTCCTCCTCCTCCTCCTCCTCCTCCTCCTCCTCCTCCTCCATCAGATCCGTGGATCGGCGATCGATCGTGGATCGGTGGTCTTTCGCTCGGCGGGGCCCGGGGGCGGTCGGTCTCTCCTGCCCGGCTGCCAAGAGTGATCCGCGCGTCGGGGCGAGTTTGGCCGGCTGGCTTGGGCCATGTTTGGTTCCGCAGCTTAGCTTTAGCAGCACTTTGCACTGCGGGGTGTCTGGGGCTCACCCGGGGGTAGGAGGAGGAGGTTGAGCAGGAGGAGGAGAAAGAGGAGGAGGGTAATTAGGCTGAGGAGGAGGAGGAGGAGGCCTTCTGTCTACCACGTGATCCGTCTTTGCGCTCTGGCCTCGCCCTTCCCTCGTCCTCCTGCTTCGGCCTACGACTTCGGGCAACTTGGCTGGGATGGCTGCTCGTGGCCACCCCACTTCAAGTTGGCCAGTGAATCTAGGCGTTTCTCTCCTCTCTCTCACGGCAGCTGCTGGTTGGGTGCTTTCCCAGGAAGAGTATACCATTTGAGTCTCAGAATTTCCACAGTCAACGTTGATAGTAGGGATGATCGATTTCCCAAGGATGCCAATGCATCCTTGCCTCTTCGGTCATCTTCGGCCCATCCTCAACCAAATTCGATGGCGAGCCCCGCTCGAGTAACGTCAGCATGGGCGTCCAAGGCCCGTGCATCCGTATCGCGCATCCTACCTGTCAGTTTTGACCGTACGGCTGGCTGGGACTCCTCCTCCTCCTCCTCCTCCTCCTCCTCCTCCTCCTCCTCCTCCTCCTCCTCCTCCTCCTCCTCCTCCTCCTGGGTCTCCCTCGCCTCGGCGTCGCCTGGGCCTGCAGGCGCAGGCGGCGGCTGTGGGGGAGGGGGGGCGCGCCGCCCACGGGTCCGCGGTGCGCTCCGGAAGTCATGCTCGGGGGCGCCCCGCCACTCTGCAGGGAGGGGCGGGGGTCACTGCCGTGTTCCCTTGTGTGCTGCTCGCCTGGGCTCCGCCCACTCTGGCCGCCTGAGGCCCCGCCTTCTTGTGCCCTGTCTCCCTAATTAAAGCTGTGCGTAGCCCGCCTAGCTTTGAGCGGAAGAGGTTCGCGCTCGCCCCGCCGACCAAAATTGTGTGCTGCTCGCCGCCCCTGGATGGAGATCTCACCCCGTTGCTTGGCTCCCTCCGTTTGGTAAATTCCCTCGCTGCCCCGCTGCCTCCCAGTTGTCTGGTGGCCGCGTTGACTGTGTTTTCGATGCTTATTTGCTGACTTGCCGCATACGTTCTGCTGCCTACAATCCCGCTCTTTGCCTCGTCCATCATCACGGGCCTGCACGTTGTCGGGTATATTGCCTTGTTGGTTGCAACCTTTCCTGGGCCCAATCCCTCGTTGTCTCGCGTCTGGTTTGGTGCCCCATCGCCCCATGGTACCCCAGAGTCTGCTCACGTTCTCTCTCGGTGTCGCGCGTTGCTCGGCTCGCTCCCCCGCTGCGTGGTTGCCCAGGTGCCTCCTTCCCCGTTGCCCCGTGGTTTGGCCGTCGTCCGGCGGTGTGCCCAGGAAGTCGTCGGCCTCCTGCCGGACTCGGCCCCTCCCCGCCTCGCTGCCTCGCCGCCCCCCTCTGCCCCGTGCCCTGCCCAGCGCCGCCTCCCCGCTGCGCTGCCGTGCCGCCTCCCGGGGCGCCTCGCGACCGTCGGCCCTCCGTCGTCCGCCGCGGGGCCGCGCCGGGCGCGCGCCGAGCTGCCCGGGCTTGGGCCGGCCGCGCTGGCGGGCCCGAGGTCTGCGCTCCTTGGGCGCGGGCTGGCTCGCCGCTGCCTCAAGCTGCCCTCTCTGGTCTGCGCCCTTCTCGCGGGCGGCCACGAGGGGGGAGCTGACTTAATTAAGGGGGGGGGGCGTCCTGGCGTGGGCCGCGATGCCTCCCCAAGTCTCGTGGCGCCCCTTCTTGTTTCAATACGTCCCCCTGGCCCCCCCCCTGGGACGCGCGCATGCCGCCGGCCATGAGCTGACCCCCCCCCCCTCTTGGACGCCCCCCTCTTGGCCGCCCCCGACCTTCGTCCGCCAGCTGCCGGCCGAGAGTGGCCTGCCGCCTCGTTGCCCGACGGCCGCGCGTCGCTGCCCCCGCGTGGCGCGGCGCGTCCGGGAGTGCGGCGCTGCTTCTGGCACGGGCGGGCTGCTTCTGGCAGCCGCGAGGAGCGGGCATCCGAGCTGCGGGATCCCCGAGGAGGTCTTCGAAGGTCCCCCCCGGCCGGGGGCTCTGGAGGGCTGCGGGAGAGCTCCAGAGAGGGAAGTGGAGCAGAATGGGGAGGAGGGGGAGGAGGGGGACGCCAGACCGGCCGGCGCTCAGAGACTCCCGATGTACACTCGTCCGAGCTCACCCTCCTCATTCCCAGACCGACGTCGTGGTTTTGGTTCACAACGTGGAACCGAGGTCTGGACCCCTTGTCCCAGAGCCCCAGACCATGGTTTTTCATCCCGTGCCGATCTAGACGGCCCCGAAGCCTGGGGAGGGCCCCCAGAGGCCGAAACCGTCGTGACCGTGCAGAGGCCTCACGGCCAGCGCCGCTGGCCCTGAAGGGGGACGACGAAGACGACGACGGCGACGACGCTGGCTCTCGCGAGCCCTCGTGGGGGCCCGTCGCGATTTGTCGCCGCGCCGTTTGTTCCGACGCGTGGCCTTACGTCTTGGGGAGGGCGCCTCGGCCACCAGGGCAGACTCCGCCTCAGACGCAAGGTTTGCTGATGGGTTAGCCGTGATGTCGGCGTCGTCCCATTGAGCGGCGCAGACACACGGGGTCGCCTGCGCCGACATTGGCGCGCAAGTTGCCCGCTTAAGGCCGCGCGCGAGTGACCTCGTCTCCAACGCAGCTTGCCGCGCCGGCGGGCCGCGTAGGCCACGGCCTAAGGTCGCTATGTCATCTCGCGTAAGAGCCGTTTTTGATCGTCGCTCATGTGGGCGCGTCGAGAACAAGCGGCGCGGTGACGTAGCTTCGCGACGCGAGGAGGTTTGGGCCCCGCCTTCGTCTTGAGCGGAGGGGGTGGCCGGACCTCAACGCCGAGAGGGGCGAGTCCTAGCCTGGGACATATCCGCCCTTCCCGCGGCTGTCTCCGAGGGCCGCCGCACATCGAGAGGCCACACAGTGACCAAAACTGCCCAGGAAGGTCCAAAGTCTTCAAAGTTCGACGACGACGACGACGACGACGACGACGACGACGACGACGACGACGACGGTGACGACGGTGACGACGGTGACGACGACGACGACGACGACGACGACGACGACGACGACGACGACGACGACGACGACGACGACGACGACGACGACGACGGCGGCGGCGGCGGCGGCGGCGGCGGCGGCAGGCAATCCCGCTGGCCGCACCTTTCCCATCCCGCTCTCGGACGTCCCTCAGATCTGGCGTTGCAATTTGTTCACAACGGGCACTTTTGCCCGCTCCTGGGCCCTGGGACTCACAGATCGATCCGGCTCGAACAATGATGCAGAAAGATGGGGGCTCGAGGCTCCAACGGTGTTTCTGCGATGCTGCAACTGTTGTCCCGACGTCGGATCTCCGACGTCATCGGGCCCTGGCGCCCCAAAGGATGTCGCGGCGTGGGGTGTTGGGCGATGCTCGGCCTCTCGGGGGCCTCCACCGGGCCTCGGGACCGTGAAGAAACTCCTCCTCCTCCTCCTCCTCCTCCTCCTCATCCTCCTCCTCCTCATCCTCATCCTCATTCACATCATCGTCGGGGCGACAAGCCGGTCCGGGGGGCAGGGGTCCAGACGAGTGGGGAGCCACGTCACGAAAAATCAAGGCGTCGGATGCCAGGGCTCCTCGACGTTCCAGGCCGTGCCCATCTTCGGCCTAGGATCGGTGCCTGCATGCACTCCCGGTTCGGCCAGGGAGGTATAGCCTCCAGTCCTGGGCCAGGGATCGGCACCTCCTGGTCCGGTGGGGCGGAGAGTCCACGCCCTCCGATGTCGCCCGGCGGGGGGGGGAGGTCGAGTGTTGCCAGAGGTGTCCCTGGCCAAAGGTGAGCTCGGCTCTTCCAGAGGCAAGGCACCCATCACGAGGCTCAGAGGGCCCAAGGGTAGTCCCAAGCTGGCGCGAAAAGCTGGGCGCACCTTTGGCCAGAGTCACCCCTGGCAACCTCCGGAGAGGATTAGGAGCGAACCTTCGCTTTCGAGTCGGCTTTCTATTTCGGATCTTCGTCTGTCGGGCCGCTGCCGTAGAATTTTCTGGAGAAGTGCAAAGAGCGGGAAACTTGGCACCGAGGTCCTGGACACGGGCATCATGACCACCCACGATGAGTTCAGGTTCCTAAACAGATCTGGCGAGGACGGAGGCGAGGTGCGTGCCATCCCCACTTTCGAGGTGTCGGACGATGGCCTGAGGGAGTGCGACTCAAAAGACACTTCCTGCGCCCTCGACCGTCATGGCCACGGCACACACGCTGCTGGCATCATCGGGGGAAACCTCTACGGCTTGGCGAAATACGCGACGCTCCATGCGTGCAAGGTGCTGGACGACGACGGCTCAAGCAGCATGTGGCGCTTCATGGTGGGCGTCAACTGGGTCGCGGAGAAGGGCAAGAGGCCCGCCATCATTGCTGCCAGCGTGTCGGCCTCGGGCAGAAGCGCCTCCCTGGAGCGCGAGATCTCCAGGGCCGTCAACGGCGGGGTGGTGGTCGTGGTGGCCGCGGGCAACGTCGGCGACACAAGTGCGGGCAACGTGGACTCGGACTCTTGTAGCGTCTTCCCAGGCAACATCCCTTTCGTGGTGACAGTGGGCGCCACCAACGCGGACGACACGAAGGCTTCCTTCAGCAGAGGGGGTTCGTGCATCGACATGTTTGCTCCTGGGCAAGACATCCTGTCAGCAGGCATATCCAAGCGCAATGCCACCAGGATGATGAGCAGCACATCGATGGCCGCATCACACGTCGCAGGGGTCGCCACGCTGCTGCAGTGGGACAGCGACGAGAGTCATTTGATGCCAGAGCAAATCTCGGGAGCGTCCAGCAAGGGGGGTGAGGACCAGGAGCGTATGCGTGTCATGGCCAGGGCCGGGACATCTCCCAGGCCTTGTAGCCCCCTCTTCTTGTTTCGAGACGTCGGTAGCTCTATCGGACGCTGGTGCGGCCAACTCTTCCTCCTCCCCCGCCTCCTCCTCCTCCTCCTCCTCCTCCTCCTCCCCTCCTCCTCCTCCTCCTCCTCCTCCTTCCCTCTTCCTCCTCCTCCTCCTCCCCTCCTCCTCCTCTCCTCCTCCTCCTCCTCCTCCTCCTCCGCCTCCCTCCTCCACCTCCCTACTCCTCCCTCCTCCTCCTCCTCCTTCCTCTCCTCCTCCTCCTCCTCCTCCTCCTCCTCCTCCTCCTCCTCCTCCTCTTCCTCCTCCTCCCTCCTCCTCCCTCCTCCCTCCTCCCTCCTCCCTCATCCTCCTCCCTCCTCCCTCCTCCCTCCTCCCTCCTCCTCCTCCCCCTCCCTCCCTCCTCCCCCCCCCTCCTCTGCCTCCTGCCCTCCCTGCTCCCTCCTCCCTCCTCCCCTCCTCCCTCCTCCCCTCCTCCCTCCTGCACTGCCTCCTCCCACCTCCCCACCTCCCTCCTGCCTCCTGCCCTCCTCCTCCTCCCCTCCCTCCCCCCCTCCCTCCCCCTTCTCCTCCTTCTCCTCCTCTCCTCCTCCTCCTCCTCCTCCTCCTCCTCCTTCTCCTCCTCCTCCTCCTCCTCCGCCCCTCCTCCGCCTCCTCCTCCTCCTCCTTTTTCCCTCCTCCTCTTCCTCCTCCTCCTCCTCCTCCTCCTCCTCCTCCTCCTCCTCCTCCTCCTCCTCCTCCTCCTCCTCCTCCTCCTCCTCCTCCCTTCTCTCCTCCCTTCTCCTCCTCCCTCCTCCTCCTCCTCCTCCTCCTCCTCCTCCTCCTCCTCTCCTCCTCCTCCTCCTCCTCTCCTCTCCTCCTCCTCCTCCTCCTCCTCCTCCCCTCCTCCTCCGCCTCCTCCTCCACCTCCTCCTCCTCCTCCTCCTCCCTCCTCCTCCTCCTCCTCCTCCTCCTCCTCCTCCTCCTCCTCCTCCTCCTCCTCCCTCCTCCTCCTCCTCCTCCTCCTCCTCCTCCTCCTCCTCCTCCTCCTCCTCCTCCTCCTCCTCCTCCTCCTCCTCCTCCTCCCCACTGCCTCGCCGCCGACGAAACAAAGAGTTTCGATGCGTCCCGTGCCCCTCCCCCCATCCGTGCCCGTGCGTGCGCTCGGGGCTATGGGTACACTAGCCCACCCTCTTCGTGGCCCTCCTCCTCCTCCTCCTCGTCCACCATCATCATCATCATCATCATCATCATCATCATCATCATCATCATCATCATCATCATCATCATCATCATCATCATCATCATCATCATCATCATCTCCCTCCCTCCCTCACTCCTCCGTCCCTCCAGTCCTCGCCCCCCATCGTCCTCCCCTGGCCTCCGTGCCCCCTGCCTCCCTCTGCCTCCCTCCGACCCCTGCCTCCCCCTGCGGGACGCGCCCGAAAGTCAAGAAGAGGCTGGTGGAGTCCGCGGCCGACGGGCAGCTCAAGCAGGTCGGAAAGGTCAGCCACGCGCAGAGAGGGGGACAGGGGGAGGGGGAAGGTTTCATAGGAGCACTCCTGCTTGTTAAGAAGGCGCGGGCCTTGTCTGTAGATGCAAGGCCCGCGCCTTCCAAGGAGCGGCCTACTTCTAAGAAGCATTCTCCCCCTCCTCCTACCCCCCTGTGCGCGCCGCCAAAAAAGGACACCCCGAACAAGCTGGTCCAGTATGCTCCTCTGGCTGCGACGGGCCCCGTGGAGCCAGCGGAGGTATCGACCACCACGCCCAGGCCCACCACGTCGCAGTCCACGATTGTGACTCTGCCCCCGCAGCAGATGAGCAGGCACGACGACAAGCCTTTCAACTGCCTGTCGGGCGCGAACATGGGGGAGAAGTACGCAGAGGACTGGTCGGAGGAGAAGCGGAAGTTCTGCTGCACGTGGGAGGAAATGGGGTGCTCGAGCGAGCCCTTTGATTGCAGTGCCGATTTCGGCAATTGGGAGGGCGGATGGTCCGAGAAGAAGAAGGAGTGGTGTTGCAAAGTGTCCAAGCGTGGTTGCTAATCATGCCAAAGTGGGATAAGTGTGTCGATCAAAAGTGAGCATGTGTAGGTAGGTTGGCGCTCATAGGGCCATAACCGTTCGACACCTTGCAGACCAGACTGTCTCGAGGTGAGCTGAACGAGTGTCTTTGGTGCGCCTCTGAAAAAGTTTTCTAGGACTCGTTCAATCCCCGTCACCCTCATCCTCATCGCCGTCTTTCCAGTCGGCGGCGAGCGAGGGGGGAAAGCGAGAGGGAGAAAGCCTTCCCAGAAGGCGGCGGGGCTTATCAGACGCCCTCGCGCCCTCTGAGAAGTGTTCTGCGCCTTCGGGGAAGGCTCGGAAAACTTCTCAGCAGGCCGGGGGACTGCCGAGCCTTCTCAGAAGGCCCGCCCTTTGTCATTTCACCCCCGGGCCCGCCGCCGATTCGGGGTTGGGAAGGGCTCCAGCCCACGGGTCCCAAGGCCTCGATCCCACGACCTGGGAGGAGGAGGAGGAGGAGGAGGAGGAGGAGCCTCCACTGCAGGCCAGGATCGTCCTCCAACCTGTCCGCTTGGCACCCACGCTCTGGGCGGAGAGCCTTCCTGGCGGGGGTCTAGGCGTCCCGGCTGGTGGACCAGCCCTCCTCCTCCTCCTCCTCCTCCTCCTCCTCCTCTTCCTCCTCCTCCTCCTCCTCCTCCTCCTCCTCCTCCTCCTCCTCCTCCTCCTCCTCCTCCTCCTCCTCCTCCTCCTCCTCCTCCTCCTCCTCCTCCTCCTCGCCTCCTCCTCCTCCTCCTCCTCCTCCTCCTCCTCCTCCTCCTCCTCCTCCTCCTCCTCCTCCTCCTCCTCCTCCTCCTCCCTCCTCCTCCTCCTCCTCCTCCTCCTCCTCCTCCTCCTCCTCCTCCTCCTCCTCCTCCTCCTCCCTGTTTCACCTGCACTTTGACTGCCCTGCCAGGGCGGTTTGGCGCAGGGACAACTTCCCCCTGAAGCCAAAGCGGTGGTTGGTCCTTTCGCCCGCTGCTCTGTCGAGCTCCAGGAGCGTTTTGCAAGAGGCCTCCTTCCTGACCGGTGCCAGCTGCTTCCCCGAAAGCCTTAGGATCCGTCAGTACAAAGCAGGGTCGAGAGTGGGGGCGCCCAGCTCATGTTCCAGGGAGGCCACGCTTTTTGCAACGGCTCGGGTCTGGATGGCCTGCTCCCCTCCCTCCGCGCGGCAGGGTGGGGCGCGGCCGCCCATGACCCCGAGCGTCGCCCAGCGGCCACCTGGTTCGGGTCGGTCCCCCCGAGCTTGTGCCCAGCACGAGTGGCCCGTGACGGCGAGGGCCATGCCATTGCTGCAGCCACCCGCTTCATACGCGACGGGTCTACTTTGTGCTCGAACTGTCGCGGCACGGCCCAGAGTTGCCCGAGCAAGCGTTGTGCCTGCCGTTTGGCCAGCGTGGGGACGCACCGTTGGCGCCAGATTGTTTGTGCAATGGGGAGTGCGAGAGGCTCCCCATCAAAACAGTGATGGCTCATTTCGCGCAGGCGGACATCCGCAACGGTCGGCTGTCGGCATCCGCAAGAGCGGGCAACTCGAAGGTGGACAGGCTCGCCAGGGCAGGCGCAGCCGTCAGTCGCCACGACAAGGGCGATATTGTGTTGGCAAACGGCGCGTCGTTTTTGGGCAGGCAGATCCTGAACTTCATTTCTCGGGCCGAACCCGTTTATTCCGAGGCCGGTCGATATGACAACATCGGGGCCAAGGGCTTGACGTTGGTGCCCCCGAAGGGGGATGAGGAGCTCGGGAGGTACCTGGAAGAGGTTAGGACGGAGGAGAGGGTTGCTGCTGCGTCTGCGCCCCCTGCCCCTTCCCCAGGCGAGCCCTCCCCAGCCCCATCCTCCAGAGAACACACGCGAGGCTTTCGGAGCGGAAAGCCGCCCCGACCAGGTGCCTCGGAGAGAAGGGGACCACGGCTTCCTTGAGTTTCTTGTGTCCTCGGGAGGGGGGGGGCGGCAGGGGGGGCGCCTTTGCGACTCTGCTCCACGTGCGGAGGATATGCCACGACCCCCCACCAGGTGCATGGGGGCCTCAGGTCAACTTGCCTGGGTGCCGCCGCGGCGTCTGCAGGGCCAGGCAGGAAGAATAAAAGCTCACTCGCACGGGGGAAGCACCCCGATTGGGCCCGCAGATTCGGCACCTGGCTCACTCCTGGTTCGGTTGCTCGGGGGCTGTTCGGGGGAATCCTTCGTGGAGCCAGGAGCCCAGCCTGTGGGGGCCTGCAGCACGGCTGCTGCGGGCACGTCGAGGGCAACGAGGCGCGAGCTGTGCCTTGCCGATTCCCTCCGTGCGTTCGGCTTGAACGAGGCTGAGACTCAAAGTTTGGGCAGCCGCCTCAAGGAGAGGGCAGAACGACCTGCCCGACCTTGATTTGGACGGCCAGCTTTCATCCTATGGGGGGGCCTCGTCGCTGGGGCACGGTGTGGTTGGCTCAAGGCCGCACTGCGGAGGCCAAGGGGGTCCTTCCCGATGGGCCCGTACCTGGGGGTTTTCGGCTGGATCATCTGACCTCTCCCTCCTCATTCTCCCTGAGTCGCGCGCGATCTTCGTCCAACCTCCGCCTCTTCCTCCTCCTCCTACTCCTCCTCCTCCTCCTCCTCCTCCTCCTCCTCCTCCTCCTCCTCCTCCTCCTCCTCCTCCTCCTTCTCCTCCTGCTCCTCCTCCTCCTCCTCCTCCTCCTCCTCCTCCTCCTCCTCCTCCTCCTCCTCCTCCTCCTCCTTCTCCTCCTCCTCCTCCTCCTCCTCCTCCTCCTCCTCCTCCTCCTCCTCCTCCTCCTCCTCCTCCTCCTCCCTCCTCCTCCTCCTCCTCCTCCTCCCCCCCTCCTCCCCCTCCGCCTCCCCCTCCGCCTCCTCCGCCTCCGCCTCCTCCTCCTTCTCCTCCTCCTCCTCCTCCTCATCATCATCCTCCTCATCATTCATCATCATCATCATCATCATCATCATCATCATCAGCAGCATCATCATCATCATCATCATCAGCATCAGCATCAGCATCAGCATCAGCATCAGCATCATCATCATATCATCAGCATCATCAGCATCATCATCATCATCATCATCATCATCATCATCATCATCATCATCATCATCATCATCATCATCATCATCATCATCATATTATCAGTATCATCTTCCCTCCTCCCCCTCCTCCTCTTTCTCCACCGAGCGTGCCACGTCGATGGGCCGCCGCGTCCTTGCACGCGAGGGGCCAGCCTCCCCTCGCAGCGCCTTCCCCCCCGAGCGGCCGCGCGGCGGCGAGGAACAGACGTACGCGTGGCTGCGCGCGCTGTGGGGCGCGCTCAGCGGCCGGCGCGCGGGCTCCATGCCGGCTGTTCGAAGATGGAGTCCCGAGGGAGACCGCCATGGGTCGACGAGAGGTGAGAGTGATTTTGCGCCAGAGTGACCTTTGGTGGGGCCCCAATCGTGTCCCCCGATCGCTCAAAGAGAAGCGATGGCAGCGGCTTGCCTGGCCAGGTCTGGCCGCCCCGCGTCCCCTGTGAGGCCGCCTACCACAGGTCACTCTTGCCTGGGGTCACTGGTTCCGTGTTGCCGTATGGGGGAAATCCAGACATGCTCGCGTCGCGAAAAGATCAGAACGGGAGGTTTTTCATGGCTTTCGGTCCCTCGGGGCTCTCACCGGGCCCAGGACCGTCAAAAAACAATTCGGGATGGAAAATTGGTCTTGGGGAAGGGGTCAGGATTCCTGGGACCACGCACTGAAAAAGTCAGGACATCGCAGGTCTGGGAACAGGCCCTGAGGTGTGTCGACGTTTTCGGGCTCTCGGGGCCCTCCACGGGCCCCGGGACCAGCAGAAAGAGCACCCGCTGCCCCCATGCCAATGAGGGAGGGGGTCCTATGGGCGAGGCGCCTCAAACCGTGTAAATCCACCCTCGGACCCCTTCCTACCCCCAGACATCCGGCTGCTTTAATTGTTGTTGGTGCGTGGGCGGAGGTCCAGACCACTTCCCTGGGACCGGTTTTTTGTCCTGAATCGTTTTCTGACGCTCCCGAGGACCAGCGAGGGCCCCCGGAGCCCGAAAACGGCCAAAAACCGCCTGCTCCAATTTATTTGGAGCGTCGGATCTCAGGGCCTGTAGGACCCCACCCCTCAGGGCCCCGTCTTTGAACCACCGACCATGCCCGCCGGGCTGCGCTGGGCCGAGGACTCCGGGCGGGGCTCCGGCGGGTCCTCGGCCGCCCGCCGAGGGGCGCTGCTCTCGGGGGGGCAAGGGGTCCTGGCAGTGCGCTCCAGGAGTGCCCTGATGTCCAAGGCTCCCTACAGTCAGAAACCCTAATAAGGACGCGCGACTTTGCTCAGGGTACCCGTGCGTCCTTGCTCTTCTTTGCTCTTGCGTCCTTGGGGTTTCCGTCGTCCGCCGCCCCAAGAATCCCAACTTCGGCTTCCAAGGGTCTTGCGTCCTCACCGCGCGTCCTTATTAGGGCTTCTGCTTAAAACGGCATAGACATCAACTGTCGGAGCTCCGCGCGGATTTCTAGGATCTGCGCAGGAGCCCCTAGCGGCGCCTCCGGCGCGCCACGGAGGGGGTCCGGCGCGGATTCGGGAAATATCCGCGCGGACCTCCGAAAGTTATGCCCTGCCGCTTTCTCTTCCTCTGCGGAGCGCTCCGCGCGGGCCGCACGAACGACGGCCGCTTTCTGCCTCAGAACTCCCGGGGCGCCTTCCGTGCCAGTCCTATCCTGGCATCCTTCTCGCCCTGCCTCTGGCCCAGCCTGCAGTCGGGCCCGCGGTCGCCACGGGGCGC